TGGGTGGGGTTAAGTAAGGTTTTGGGTTCTGGTTAGGTTCTGGTTCGGTTTAGGTGATAGTAATTGTTGAGAAATGGATGGGAGTCAATGGTAGTGTTGTTTGAAGTGATGAAAGAGGAAAAGTGGAGGTAACAGAGTGTATGGCTGTCTGACTACAGCTGTGCATTCATGGGGCTGCTCCGGTTTATAAGGACTCACAGAGATGGATGTAGTGACAGGTTTAGAGAGCTGCTCATAAAAACATGCATCTCCTCTGGGTCCGTAAAACGCTGCAGCACAAGGCTTTAATTGTTCCAGAGATATAAAAGACAGAACAGAGCAGATAAAAGATCTGAGCAATGAGAGGGAACACTTGTAAAATCTGTCCCGGAGCTTTTCACAAAACTGAAACATCTCAATTGTCCTGTTTCCTGACGTGTCTCTGCAGGACTATCCCTCATACACGACGTTTGGCCAAAACCAGTACGCCCAGTATTACTCCGCCTCCACCTACGGAGCCTACATGACCTCCAACAGCGTGGACGGAACTGGTTCCACGGCGGCCTACCAGCTGCAGGACCCCAGCCCCGCCATGACGGGCCAGGCCGCCGAGCTCCACCCAGGTTAGTGGCAGAACCGGACCAATAACTTCAATAAGGTGCAATGGAACGCCAGATTTTTCTCTGCGGTTCCATAAATAAATACCAACGTTTAGATGTTCCACAGCCAACTGCTGCCAGGCTCTCAGGAAAATAAAGGTTCCTAAACGGTTCTTCGAAACTTCAAGATCATCTTTCCTTAGAGGATGGTTCTTCACCTACTTTCTGTGGTTCTTTAAGGGTTCTTCATGTTTATTGGAGTTCTTTGGTTGGTTTCAGATAACAGCATGAAATCATGATTTCATTCTGGATTAATCATTTGGTCGATAAAACATCAGAAAACAGAGAAACGTTCATCACAGTTTCACAGATCTCAAACTTAGAACATGTTGTTCTGTCTGACCAACAGTCCAGAACCAAAACACTAAATGGTTCTAACTGAACCCAGAGATGCTGCAAATTCTTACATTTGACTTTTACATTTAGAAATTGTTAAAACGATTATCGAGTCCTGTCCTCAAGGTAGAACCAGGTGGGTCCACAAAGACCCAAGCTGAGGTCCTTAAAGAACATATTTTTGCTCTGTAGAGTTCTGGTTATGGCTTCTAAAGGAACGATTTTGATGGTTGTTTTAACCAAATTTGGGGGTCCTTTAAAGAGCTGGTCCTTTGAAGATCCTATTTTATAAAGATTATTGGACCACAACTTATGTTGCCTGAAGGAACCATTTTTAGAAGTTCTTTGAGGCATTTTTGGTGGTTCTTTCATGAGCCAGTTTAAAAAATGGTTATTTCAGGACCCTACTTTTACTCCAGTTCTTTGAGATGCGATTAATGTGTCCAAAGGAACAATTTGAATGTTTTCTGAGGCACCGAAAGAGGTTCTTCTAGAACTGACTAAACGAGAAACTTGTTTTTGCTAAAGTTCTTCAGGGCACCATTTCTGGTTTCTAAAGAAAGCCTTGTTCCCTGGTTCCTGAGGTTCCTTTGAGGTTTCTTCAGAGAACTTTTTGCTCAAAGGTTCTATGTGGATATAAAAATGGTTCTTGTGGGGCGCCGCTCCAGCTCACCTGGTTGAGCTGGCGTCCCATGTGCAGGGCTACAGTCCTGATGTGGAGGTCATGAGTTTGAATCCCGCTCATGGTCCTTTCCCACACGTCCTCCCCCATTCTTCTCCCCACTTTCCTCTCTCTCTCACTGCTCTATCACATAAAGGCACAAAGGCCAAAAAACTACTGTAAAAAGAAAAAAAAAGGTTCTTGTGAGGCAACACAGTGAAGAACCATTTCTGGTTCCTGGTCTGCGGTCACCTGATCACCCTCAGAGGCTTTGACTGGATCTTGCATGTTTGTAGACAAAGAGGAAGGTAAGGGAGCAACGTGGAACAGAAACACAGCTTCCTGTTCTGGTTCTGCCTCCTGGTTCTCTTTTCGTTGCTTCAGTTTTTCGAGGCTCTCGTGCTGTTTGCGTCTTTATCTTCCTCGGCCTGATAGAGATGTTCCGACCCGAGCCGACACCCAGAGTCTGGTTCTGGTTAGCAGCAGCACAATATGTGACCGCTGCACATTATTATACGTCCAGTATCTGAGTGTGAAGCATCCGATTACCCGAGCCGGTGATTTACTGCCCCGGTCTCCTCCTCCTGCATGTTACCATCAGTCAGCCGGCGGTGCGCTTCTGTAGTTCCTTGTAGCTTTTAGTTGACGTCAATTACGCTGAATTATTAAACCTGACAGACGTCTTATTACTGTACACAGTCTGAATTACAGTTTTTCCTGCAGAGCAGCTGTGGGAGCGCCTCCCGTCGTTGCTGCAGGTTACACCAGTTGTGCTGTTTGTGCTGCAGGAGACTTCGACACGGTGCAGAGTCCCTCCACGCCCGTCAAGGAGCTGGAAGACCGAGCCTGCCGGAGCGGGGGGTCCAAGTCCCGGGGCCGGGGCCGCAAGAACAACCCATCCCCTCCTCCCGACAGCGACCTGGAGGTAAGAGGCCCGAAGCTCACGGGCAAGGAAAGGCCCCGAGTGGTGTTAATCAGAGTTCAGCTGTTGAATGGTCTCCGGACATTACTGTAAAAACTCTCACAGTTGACTCTGGAGGACGAGAAATGAGGTAAGGTTGTCCAAAGTGACTGAAAATGTGTCTAGAAGGTCAAAACTCTGGTCACAGTGACTCAAAGCTTTTCCAGATTGAAGTGGACAAAAACACAACTAAACCTTTGTCACAATGACGACAAGAGTGTGATCCAAATGAGAAGAGCTCAATGACTCGAAAGTTGTCCAAAGTTAATCAAAATGAGTTTAAATGGAAGAAAACATTTGCCCAAAATGAAGGAGGCTGATGAGATCTCATCGTCTGAATGCGTTTGTGAATAAAGTCATTGTGTGTTTTTGTGCTGCAGAGGGTGTTTGTGTGGGATCTGGATGAAACCATCATCGTCTTCCATTCTCTGCTCACGGGTTCCTACGCACAGAAATATGGAAAGGTAAGACTCTGTTTTCACCTCCAGAACCTGCTCAGATCGTTCCTACGTCCACGTTGCTCTGCTTCCGTCTGCCGAAGCAGAACGTGATTCAGGAGGGACGAGAAAAGTTCTTCTAGTCGAGTCTCTCTGCTCAGACACACCAGTCTGATGATGGTAATCCTGGTCTGAACCAAAACCTGTACCTGGTTTAGTTGTACCCTCAGAGCTGCTCTGCTCCCAGAGCTGCTGCAACACTTTAACTCTGGAAGTCCTGATCCAGAAACATGTGGGCTCCATCTGGGGTAGTTATGGTTAACCGAGTCCAGACTGAAGCAGAAGTTCACTAAAATTAGGTGAAGAAATGATTTAAAATTTGTCCAAAATGAAAAAAATTGTTTCAAAACTGGTTCAAAATACCGTAAATCCTGGACTGTAAGCTGCTTCTTCTTTCACACGCTTTGAACGCTGCGGCTTAAACAACGATGCGGCTAATTTATGGGTTTTTACGAGTTCTACGAATTTCCCTCGAGACCAAAGTGAGGCTGAGAGCGACGACGACAGAGAGACTGAGGAAGTGATGAAGTGATTCTGAGGCTGTTCAGCTCCTGAAGACACTGAAGAAGACGACTTTAGTGGTTTTAGTGCAGGAGGAAGATGAAGATAGCCATCAGTGACNGGTTTTAGTGCAGGAGGAAGATGAAGATAGCCATCAGTGACTTTTCCTGGTAGCTGCTGGAGTTTTATTTCCTTAACCAGCCGTGTTACAGGAAGTGTTCAGAAAAAAGCCTCTACGGTACGTATCTGTGTATGTTACCGCTACGCATTTAATTAAAGGTGATTTTGATTAAAATGACTCGATACTTGTTCAAAACTACAAAAACAGGATTGAAATGACTCAGTATTTGTCCACAATCAGTTACAAATTGCTAGATTACTCAAATTTGTCTAAAACTAGCAACAATTTGTCCAAGATGATGGGAAACCTGTAGAACCGAGTTAGAAGTTGTCCAGAGTGATTGAAAATGAGTGAATGAGTGACTTCTCATGTTCAGATTCACTCTGTGAAGACAGCAGCTGATCATCAGAGCGACGCTTTCATTCCACATTAAAACGTCTACAGTCGAAGCTGAAGCCTCAGCAGATTATTAACGTTACATCAACCACTCCAGGAACGTTTCGCTCAATTTCTCTGATCACACGCTCCATGAAACGAGGCTTTAACGCAGCTATTAATAACCGCCGCTGGCTCCTTAATGTGCTAATTTCTAGCCGGGCTGATGTTTATTCCAGTTGTGCTGTGAACGTGTCCGGTGGTCTCTGCAGCTCCTCTGTTTATGGCTCCCTTTACTTTAACAGCTCTTGGCTCTGATCGGATCAGCACCGCCGCCAAGGCTACACATTTTTATTGGGTGATGTCGTTTCCTGTGGGCACCGGAGCAAGCGCCGGCCCGCCTGCTCGGGTTCTACGTCCTGAATCGTCCTGATATTGGTGTTTGGCAGCAGAACTGAAGCTGGCGGAGCGGCCCTGCCTCCGGGTCGGCCTCGTGGCACCGATGCAGCTCCTCTGGATGTTTGGCAGGTTTAACGGGTAAAGAAAAGCCCGGCTGAGCTGTAAATCTGCAAGTGTGGATGAGACACAGAACACATTTGGTTCTTCGGCTCGTGTTCTGTTTGCTGCAGAGAAACTCTCGGTGTAGAAACTTCCTGTTTGTCGTCACCCAGAGGATCAGAGGTAGCGTTATAGTCAGCTTCAGCTCGTGGACCTGCTGAGAAGCATCAGGGGAACAAACCACAACCATCAGACCTTCAGCTGCTTTATTTTAAAGTCAACACATCAGATCCAACATCGATCAACAGCTGGTCAATAATCACAGCATCTACACCAAAAGGTTATAAAAACATTCTAATAGAGTGTTCTTTGTTTTATTCTTTAGAACTGAAATCCAAAGTCCAGCTTGGGTTCTGTTACTTTGCAAGGACCAAAGCGAGAAGTCCAGGTTTGGTTCTGTTGCCTTTGAGAATCGAAAGAAAAAGTCCAGTCTTGGTTATTTGGTATTCAGGTTTAGTTTTAGTTTGTTGGTTGTGATGAGCCAAAAGGACAACTTCAGTTTTGGTTCTTTGGTTTTCAGGAGCTCATCAGAGAAGTCCAGTGCTGGTTCTTTACATTCTGAAGTGCGGTTCTGCCGAAGAAATGCAGGAAACACTGACATCGATAACACGCTTATTTAAGATCCTCCCAGTAAAACATCTGAATCCAATCAGCAGCAGAGACACCAGAACCCTGCAGCATCTAAGTTTATCTAAATGGACCCAGTCAGGCTGCGAACTCACTGATAGACGGTCCGGACCCGGAACCACGTCGGATTCGTTTCTAACCAACAGGAAGCAGAAGTCTACATGGAGAAGATGCTGAGTTTAATGAGAAAGTCGTCACCGATCGTTCGGCTCATCTGTCTGTCGTCCGGTTGAAGCTTCAGCCTCGAGATGATGAGTTTAGACTCTAAATATCTGCAGCTCACCGGTTCCTGCTGCTGCTGCTGCTCTGAGAAGGTTGGTGGCAGCTGAGTCTGTTCACACCTCCGCTTAAAATAGTGTTTACACTGTTGACACACAAACCACAAGAGCTGAGAGCTGCAAGCTTCCTCCACCGTTAATACCGACAAAGATGCGAGAATTAATGATATAAAACCATACAGATACTCATACTAATATTATAACCTCACTAACCAGGATGTGGTGTAGATCCAGTTTTAACATTGAGGGAGGACACAAACGTTTTCCCCAAATAACTCCGAGTCAAACACTTCATTTTCTGCATTCTTGTGAATTTTTCTGCATCAGATTTTGGTGGAAAAGTTCCTATTTATGTGAAGGAAAACATTAAGTTCAGGCCCACATACAGCCTGGTTGTTCTTTCAGTGTGCAGGTGGCAGCTTTATCACGATAAAGATAAATTAAACGACGTATTTAAACATATCAACATCCACGTTGTGAATGTCACGAGATGTTTGACCTGAAATCGACACCATCAGATGTTCAGCAGAGGTTGTTTCAGGCCAAAGTCAGATCTGTAATTCTCTGATTAATTCATTTTTTTGGAGCCCAAAACATTCAGAGAGTAACTCTGTTGAAAATGCATCAATCCTAATGTTTTTAACCGACTGCTGGGCGATAGTAGCGTCAGACGTCTTCAGCTCCAGTCAGCAGTCTGCTGCTAAATAACCTCAAAAACCCATCTAAAACTGCTCAAAGTTTGTCTAAAATTACTCTGAAATGGTCCATATGGACTTGAAATGGTTCCAAAGTTATGCTAAATTGTCCAAAATGCCTCCAAAATCACTCAAAATTCATTTAAAATCACTCAAAATGAGTCAAAAATGTGTTTGTCAGCACGACGCATGAACATGTGAGGAGAAAACCCAGCTGCTGGTTCCACCTGGAACTTCTCTCCAGCTCTCTGGCCTCCCGTTAATGCAGCTGCTGTCATCTCCAGATGTTTCTGGTGTCAGGCAGCAGAACCAGGATGAACCAGTGGAACTCCTCCAGACGACACGTTGACCAGCATCACATCATTTAGAATGCTGAAGCTTATCGGGAATCCAAATGTTCTGGATCGTTGGGTGTCTCTGCCTTTGCTAAGTGCAATGAGATGACTTGTTGTTGTAAATATGCGCTATACAAATAAAACTGAACTGAATTGAATTGAATGTCGTCTGACAACAAACAGGAGTTAAAAACAATGACTGAGCTGAAAATTCACGGTCTTCTTCCTGAAGGGGGCGGGGCCATAGACCGGGGCGGGGCTAGTGGTGGGAGGTGGGGTCAGTAGCTCATTTAAGAATTCACATATTTCCATAAAGTTTGATGCCAAAATCAGTTTCACAGTAAGAAGAAAAGAGTTTCTTTAGCTGCTCTGAGCCGTCAGTCACCGAGTCCACATTAAACTTTAACATTCAGACTGAACTGTTCACAGAAAGTTGGACTTCTGACTTAAATAATCATTCTTTTTTACATTTTGCACTTTAACACATGAACCTTTGTTTTTGTAAACAATCAGCTGACATGAGATGACCAGCTGATGTTTCAGGAGGTGGACTCATGGACTCGTGGTCTCCATGTCAGCTCCAGAAGGCCTCTCTCTCTCTCTCTCTCCATGTCGGTGTTGCCTCGCTCGCCCACTTTCACTCTCCGTCCCTTCGCTTAGCTTCTATTCTGGTCGTCTGACGGCGTCAGCGAATCGTGCAGCGAGCTGTCGACCCTCGCTGACCTATCACAGATGATGGTTTTTGCAGCTGAGCCTCCACGCACCGTCCGCATACCTCCCCCCCCCCAAACAGGAGGAATGTTGACGGGAGCGAACAAGTGCAGGCCGTCTGTCAGCATCTGGAGCATACCATCTCTGCTGACGGGGGTGGACGGGGCAAAGCCTGGATGGACATACGGGGGGCTGACCAGGTGTGTTGTCAGGTTGTTGTCACGGTGATGACGCTGTCTCTCTGGTGCAGGACCCTCCCATGGCGGTGACGCTGGGCCTGAGGATGGAGGAGATGATCTTCAACCTGGCCGACACACATTTATTCTTCAATGACCTGGAGGTGAGACACGAACCGCAGAGCGACGAGTTCAGCTGATTGTTAGAGGGGTTTGGGTTTATGACTGTCCTGCTGCTGCCCTCTGGTGGTTCTGCAGCGTGTCAACGTCCTGCTTCTGACTGTGGTTCTGCTGTGTGTTCAACAGGAATGTGATCAGGTCCATATCGATGACGTGTCATCAGACGACAACGGCCAGGACTTAAGGTGACTATTCAACACTTCAGTAAAACATTAACGTGATTGTTTCAAACCTGCGTAAACCTTCAGTCTGTGCTGCTGCAGCGTCTCAGCTTCTGTTCACGACTCGTTTATTCAGGATTCAAACTAAGTTCTGGATAATATAATAAAAGTGGCAGAGCCGTGAGATGTGCTGATGGATCAGAACCTCAGGAAGGAACGATGGACTCACTGTAGTTCAGTTCCTGCTGAGGAGCCGGAAGTTATTCTGAGAATCTGAGCTGTTGGAAGTAATTTGATTACTGTGATGTATTCCGCTGTCTGACCTGCATCTGTTCCTGCTGCTGAGTGATCACATCAGCAGCCATCTTTTTGCTCTAATTAAACCTCGTCATCGTTGACAGTACGTACAGTTTTGCAACTGATGGCTTCCATGAAGCTGCGACCAGCGCCAACCTGTGCCTGGCGACGGGTGTCCGAGGGGGCGTCGACTGGATGAGGAAGCTGGCGTTCCGCTACCGACGGGTCAAAGAGCTGTACAGCACGTACAAGAACAACGTGGGGGGTGAGCCAATTTGAACGCAGCTCTGAGGGAGGTGAAGGTCCACCTGGTCTCTGCTGATGTTGTGACGGTGTTTCTGTGCTGCAGGTCTGCTGGGTCCGGCGAAAAGGGACGCCTGGCTGCAGCTCAGGGCTGAAGTGGAAGCTCTGACCGACTCCTGGCTCACCCACGCCTTAAAGTCCCTGTCAATCATCAGCTCCAGGTGAGGCTTCCACCTGCAGGAGTCAAGAACCATCAGTTCTCCTCCAGAACATCTGGTTCTGTATCTGCAGCACCTTTATCTACTGACCAGAGTTCTACCTTCAGACTGTGAATGTTCCAGAGGTCCAGGTCCTTCAAGTCCACAGAGGAGGGTCCACATTGATCACTTTAATGGACTTTTTCCATCATGTCTGAGCCTCAGAACTTCGTCAGAACAGCAGATAGACACATGACATTTAGGATTTTACATCTTTAAATCTGGTTCTGTTGCTGCTGATATGAGCCTGGAAAGTTTACCCAGAATGCACTTGTTAAAGTTTTCTCTGGTGAATGATCAGAAACCAGAACCACATCCAGGGTACCAACTGAAACTATCATAATATTCATGCTTACAATCAGTTATGGAAGATATTTGTAGACTCTGAAGTCAACTGGAAGAACATTCTTTGGTTTGATAAGATGAAAATGGTGCTTTTTGTCCGTCAGACTAGAAGTTATGTTGGATGGACACTAAACGGTGGTGTCAGCGTCATGACGTGAAGGTGGACGTAGATGCTTCTCGACAGCAGACCATGAAAAGGTGGAGGGTAAAAAGACACCAACACTTGTTCCTAACAACCAGGTCCAGTGTTCAGACTGAGACACCTGGATGGATGTAGAACTGATCTGGTGTCAGGTTCTAGCAGAACCCAGATGTGTTCTTCCTCCTAAATGTCATGTGTCTATCTGCTGTTCTGATGAAGTTCTGAGGCTCAGAAATGATGGAAAAAGTCCATTAAAGTGATCCATCTGGACCCTCCTCTGTGGACTTGAAGGACCTGGACCTCTGGAACATTCACAGTCTCGAGGTAGAACTCTGGTCAGTAGATAAAGGTTCAGCAGATACAGAACCAGATGTTCTGAGGAGGTTCTGGAGGAACTTTTATGTGGAATATTTGTGTATTTCTTGTGATTTTTCTTCTGTGTTGAACTAGTTGAATCACATTCAACATCTTTAACTGTTCCGTTGGTTCTCTGTTGGTTCTCTGTTGGTTCTGCAGGAGTAACTGTGTAAATGTGTTGGTGACGACGACGCAGCTCATCCCAGCTCTGGCTAAAGTTCTCTTATACAGTCTGGGCTCCGTGTTCCCCATTGAGAACATTTACAGCGCAACGAAAATAGGTGAGACGCCAACACGGATCAGAACAATGCAAACATGATCAGACAGTGACTGAGCGGCTGCTGTGATGTGAAGCTGTGGCTGGACTCGCTGAATGGTTGGTTGGACGTTTGTGTGAGAAAGTTTAAAGCAGCTGAAACATCCACCATGTCAGAGAGAAGCTTTAGATCCACTCTGGTAGAAGCTGTAATGGAGTCTGGTCTGAGTTACAACATTCATCACACATGAACCAACAGATGTCTTCGTCAAACGTGGTATTTTGTTCAAGCGTCCGACAGACGACCGAAATGATCCCACAGTCATGAACCGAAGTTTCTATTCACTATAAAGTCCATGTTTATTGTTCAGTCTTTAGTCTCCAGTGACTCCTAGAACTCTGAATGTTCTCTAAATATTCATATTCTGTTATTTTAGTGACAAAGATTCATGTTCCTTGGCTGCAAGGTGGTTCAGTGGTTAGCACCGTGGCCTCACAGCTAGAAGGTC